GCAGCTCTGGGCTCGTGAGCTGGATGCATGTGGGATGAGCTGTCCTAGAAATTTTCATCTTCTGGAAAACTTCTTGAATCCATTCACTTCTATTAATTTACACCAACTTGTCCCAGCCCAAGCCACCATGATCTCGCATGGTGACCAGGGTAATGGCTGTCTAATAACTCCCAATCCAGCTTTGTCCTCTTCCTGGCAATCCTCCATAAGACAACCAGCGGGGTCTGTCAACATCTCCCATCTAACCACTGAGTCTGTAGTTCAAAAACTAAACGTCTCCCCATCACTCTTTGATTAGGGGCCTTCATTTTTACAGTCCCTTCTCTTTGCTCCAATCGCTCTGTGCTTAAACCTTTCCTTAAATTCACCAGGCTCAATCAATCCTGCCACAGGACATTAACACAAACTTTCTCTCATTGCTCCTCTAAAGTCTCCCCATTCTGTGACTCTCCACCCCCAACATTATTTTTTACTTATTTATTTATTCATTTATTTATTTTTGGTGGTACGAGGGTTTGAACTCAGGGCCTTGGGCTGGTTAGGCTCTACCACTTGAACTATACCTTTAGCCCTTTCTTTGCTTTAGTTATTTTTCAAATATGTCTCATATTTTTGCCTAGGATCAGCCTCAGAGCACAATCCTCCTACCTATGCACTCCCAGTAGCTGGGATTACAGACCATTAATACCACATCCAGTTTAATCATTAAGATGGGGTCTTACTAATGTCATGCCTGAACTGACCTCAAACCACAACCCTCCCAACCTCTGCCTCACAAATAGCTGAGATTATAAGTGTCAGCCATGGACTCAGCCAAAAATCATTTTTTTTTGTGGCAGTACTGGGGTTTGAACTCAGGGCCTCCCACTTGCTAGGAAGTCACTGTACCACTTGAGCCACTCTACCAACCCCTGGCTTTATTTTCTTCATAGCCTGTAGTCAGCATAGGTTCTGCTATTTGTGTTTTTGTTTTGGGAATACCCCTGAAAGGGGCACCTGCCATGGTTCTTTGTCAGCTATTCTCTCCTCAACGACCAGGATAATGCCTGGTCAGGGCTCAGAAAATACTTATTGGGAAATGTTTGGGGAGTTGAGAGAAAGAATACAGTGCTGACACTTAGCTAAGTGGCTAAGTACTTTATTCTCACTGAATCTCAGAAGTGGAGCATGGTGTAAGTGAAGTACTGACTTAGCTCAGTGCCTGGAGAACTATAAACATTCAGTAAGTGTGAGTCCTTGTGACGATGCTACGTCATGCTCATCAGTGAGTGGAAGGTGGCCTCATGGGTGTAAGCAGGTATAATGAGCAGGGGGAATGCAGCTGACGTCTACAACTACCAACTAGGGAGCTTCTTCCTACCTGAAAGCCATTTATCATTTGGTTTGGTTGAACAGTTTGACCAGTTTGGGTGTACAAAGGGAGTCCACAGTGAAGGGAAGACTAGATATTGACAGATGTGATGATATTTAATAGGTAAAAATTAGATGATTTATATGTATATGTATATAGATTTTCATATGTATGTGAACTTAGAGTGAAAAGCACCGTAAGTGTGGAACATTCCAGAATGACATTGAGGGGAGAAAGAGGAGGGTGAAGAGACAGACAGAAGCCAATATGCTGTTCCTGGCTAGGCCAAAAAAGGCCTAAGCTGCCAGAGACACACCCACGTGGGAATCCATGGCTAAAAACTGCTGAGCAGAGGGGCATATTCTAAGTGAGGTTACTGTATTTCTCCCCCTAATTCTTAGTAAAGATTAGAACAAATAACTGTTACTGTTTTAACACAAATCAAATTACCTAAGTGCTATCATTTAGATCACAGTGTGTATGTACAAGCTTTGCCCTTACCCCCCGACCCCCAGACGGTTACCTTTTATCCACTGATAAGCCTTGGAATAGGCACAGTGGCAGAGTAACCTAGGGAAGATGACTGAGAAGAGCCCCATGCAACCATGGCCACTCCTGAAGGAAATTCCATGTCTGAGGTTCTGCCACCTGATCTAGAAGTGGAGGGCTTGGGCAAATCCCCCTTAGTGACAGCTTATAAACTGTCTAGCTCTGTGAAGGATGGTCTATTTCCTTTCATGCTCCAGAAAGCTCCAATCTTGGAGTAATGTTAGAGAATACCATATAGTTAAGTAGGCAGGTTAACTATGTCTACCATTACCACACTGTGTTGTAAAGACTCCACAGAGAGGCCATGCAGAAGCTCAGCATTGCCTGGAACACAGGTGGAAACATTTTTATTAAACTCTTGTGTCATTATGTTGCAAATAACATTATTGTACTGCACTGCAGAGTACTGGTTCCAAACGTGCACAGGAGGGCTCATGAATCCCGCCATAATTGAAGAGTAGCGAGAGTAGACCCATTCAGAATGGAGAGAAATTAGAAAACTACTGAGTGCCTTACTACTGAGGACCAAAGGTAGCTTGCAATTATTACACAGAGTTATCAGGCTACTGCCTCTCCCAGCTTGGATGGAAACCAAACAGTTTGACAGCATCGCCTCTAATTCTTGGTTGAGAGAGGAGATGGGCATGGGTGTATTCCTGTAATCCCAAGTACTTTGGAAGCAGAGTTAGGAGGATTGCAGTCCAAGGCCAGCCTGGGCAAAAGCATGAGACTCTATCTGAAAGCAAGCTAAACGCAGAAGGACTAGGGTGAAGCCCAAGTAGTAGAGTGTCTACCTAGCAAACACCAGGCCCTGAGTTCATCCCACATTACTTCCCCCCTCGCTAAAATGTAGGAGAACCCATAGGCTGGAGAGGAGTCAGTATAGAAAATCTCACTGAAGAAATGGGATCTTTGTTCCCTCTTCTTGTCTGAACCTTACCGTTCTCTGCTAAGAAAATTCAGATCTCATACCATCCTATCCCAAAACATAAGATGGCAAAAGACATATGAGAAGACATGTGAGTCAAAGAATGATATAGAGGAGACTGGTGTCCCTTTCAATGGCAGAATAAGTATGCCAGTGTGACACAAAAACACTCACTAATACGTGACTTGTCAGAGTCCTACAAAGGTGATTTAGAGGACTTTGAGGTGAGTTCACTCATAACACCTCCCATCTGAGAAGTGAAAACATTGAGGCCCAGAGAAATGAAGTGACTTGCTCTAGTACGAGCCGTTAGTCATGCAAAACCACATCCACCAGTGCCTCATCCTTTCCACGGCACAGGCATATAGTCTATAGGGTATTGTGTTCAATTAATGTCATCCTGAAAAATAATTTGAGCTATTGTTTCTTAATCATAATTATATTCCACAAATCATCTGTGTGTATTAAAATCCTGGCATAAGTTAAATAAAACCATTATATGTCATAATGGTATTTATTAAGCAGCCATTTAGATTATAATGAGAACATGCTAGACTCACTATACAAGAAAGCAAGAGGATGGTAGAACATATAATATAAAAGCCCTCTGTGAGAATTTGAATACAATTTTATCATTGAATAAAGAATGAATCTGCAATTAATTCAGTGATACTTCTCAAGTCATAGTTACCTGAGAAAGACATATGAATTGTCCTGTACCAGGGTTTCCAAAATATGAAAGTACCAATGCACTTAAGGAACAAAGGGCATGCACTCAACTAACCAACAAATCAGTTCCAACAGTTAAGTTGGAACTCTAGCTTATTTGCACAAAGGAGTAGAAAAAAATTGCAGGATTTTTAGGTTGTCCACAGAACCATATTTAATCCACATTTGAAACAGCTGCTCACAGATGGGTGTCATACAAATTCAAGAGACCAGTGGCAGATCACTGAACCCCTAATGATCATTGAGCCCCTACCTCCTGAGACTTTCTGCTTGACCTCCTTTTCTCCTTCCCTCCTTCTAGTCTCAGCTCCCAACAAACCCTACTATCTACTTGTTAAATATTGTATTCACAAAAAGCAAGGAACAAGGCTGGGTCCTCACTTTTGCCCTGCCAGCAGACAAGTCTGCAGTGACAAGAAGCTCAGGAAAGGGAGCAGAAAGAGCAGAGTTGAGAATGACATGGTAGCAGCCAAGGAGTGGAGAGATGGGAATGAATTGTTCTGACCACAGTGGAGAAGGACTCTGCCCCATGGACACAGATGACGTGAACATCATTCTTGACTCAGGCACTCCTATTTTGAAAACTTCCTACCTTGTTTCTTGAGCAGAGTTCTCAATGAGTAATCAAAGTCAATGACTAAAGTGTAGCTGTATGTAGCCCACAGATTTGCTATCATGAACTGGGGGTGCTCTTCACCAGTAGCTATTACTCCAGGGTGAGCCATCGTCATCTCTTGTCTGGACCACTGCTACAGTTTCCCAGCTGCCCAGCTGGCCTTCCTTCTATTCTTGATACCTCCACTTCCACACATATCCCAACCCCATACATCATGCGCACCCAGCAGCCAAAATGATCTTTCTAAACCATGAATCCAATCATGCCACACCCTACTAGAACACTCAAGTGGTTTTCAGTTTTCCTTGGAATAAAATCCAAATTATTGTGTGGGGACCTATAAGTCCCCCACCCCCTGGTGTCTCTGCTCTAACTTCATTTCCTGCCTCTCTCATCCACTGCTCTTACATTCAGATCACAATCTTTCTGTCAGCTCCAGTCTCAGGGGGTTTTATACATATTCTTCCCTTTACTTCACTGTCCTTCTACAAATTTTTCTACATAGCTCATCAACTCTAATCTCTGCTCAAATGTTACTTCCTTCCAATCAGCCAATCTAAATGCTCTCCCCGTCCATAACTTTCTCACTCATTGCAGTATTTTCTTCAGATCACTTAATATCTGATATTAAATTATTAGTCTACTTGGTTATTAGTTCCACATAGCAGCAACCTTGTCCATCAAGGTTCCTCTTTCTTGACATGACATGATCCAAGAAAACTACCCTACCCTTTCCTTTCTTCATCTGAATCATTCCATCCATTTCAAGAGTCACTCTCACTCTCCCTTGTCCCCAACCACTCTCCATACACATACCCTTAACAAAATGGTCACTGGCACCTGAGGAATATTATAACTGTACACATTTATTTTCCATTTGTTGGATTCGGGTTTTTCTAAGGGAGCTTCAGTAGCAGTGACATTGTAAAAAGTTCTTTTGAGTTTTTAGAGAATAGGAACAGATACCCTGCCATGTGAACTCACCAAGCTCTCAAGACTTCTTCTCCTCCACGGGAAGCATCAGGCCCTTCTTATGGTCTCATTTCAGAACCCACACAGCCAGGCAAGAGAGCCCTAAAGCTACATTCCAATAACAGTAGGACCCCAAAGTCCTCAGAGCTTCTGGTGGCGACACCCAGGAACTGGTAAGGCTGAGACACCTGCAAATCATCTTCATAAATCCTCTGTGGGATGAGATACATTTGGACAACCTTAAGCACCTCTGGGATTCTCACCCATATTTGTGGTTGACAGCACAGGCTCTAAAACCTGACAGCCTGGGTTCATATTTCTATTCTGCCACCAACTAGCTATGTGACCTCAGGAAATTAGTGATACTCATCAAAACTAAGTGTTCTTGAGTAAGAGAAACTGAGTCCTGTAGATATGGTTTTTGAAAAGCTGAGGATTCTTTTGGGGGGGAGGATGATTTGGTGGTGGTGGTGGTGGTAGCGGTGTCTGTTTTAGTTTTCTTATCAGCAAAATAGCAATAATAGTAATAGTTTCTTTCCTAGGTTTGCAACCTAGGGTTAGATGAGTTCATTAGTATACACAAAATATGAGATATTATCATTATGAAATGATTCCTCAGTAAAATCTTTTACTTGCCCTTGGATAACTGAGAAGAATCCCCAGACTGATAATGTATTTAAACGTACACAAATAAGCCAGGCACCAGTGGTTCACACCTGTAGTCCTAGCTACTCAGGAGGCAGAGGTCAGGAGGATCGCAGTTCAAAGCCAGCCTGGGTAAAAAGTTCACAAGACCCTATCTCAAAAAACCCTTAACAAAAATACGGCTGGTGGAGTGGCTCAAGGTGAGTACCGCCTGAGTTCAAGCCCCAGTACCGCCAATAAATAAATAAATAAAATAAATGTACACAAATGATCAACCAAATTCTTGAGGGAAAAATGTGTCTAAAAGAATAAGACTCAGAGCAACTGAACAGCAAAGATGATAATATGTTTACTGCCTTTTACATGTAGGTAGGTGTCTCAGAGCTCAGCAAGCTATTATCTTCAAAGCTAGAGTTCCCCACCAAATAACAGGGACATGTAAGTACTCAGTATAGGAAAGAAATCATTGCTGACCATCTCACCTTGACCAAGGACAGTGACAAAAAAAAAAGTTTGAAAATAAGCTTTTGCATAGCAAATTTGTTTTGACATTTCTGTAGGATTTGAATTTCCTTATTGAAGAACATTTAGTGGCAATCAACCAATCATCCAGTATTTTTTTCAACACACTGTTGCACACAAGTCACTCAGGAAATGGTAAGAACTGTAAGACATGAAACTTTCCCTCCAAGAACTGATAAAAGCAACTTGAAATGCTCTCAAAAGATACCCCGCCAGGATAGGAAGGACTTTCAACTTTGACATGCATGTCCTTTATAGCCAAATAAAACTGACACTCATACCTGCTCATAGTTTTGCTGTCACAGAGTGTTCTTATATAATGTTTGCATACTGCATTATAAACACCAAAAACTTCTTGGATCAGACCAGAGCTATTAAAATTTCCAAACCATAGTTCAATTTTCATCCAGGCCCTCCAAAATCTAGCTTTTATAGCACTTCAATGGCTCTGTAAAACTAATAGATCTTTTGTGCACTTTTATAGCTATCATATTTAAATGAACACTAAGTCACAGGATCAAAATTATTAACATCTAACATGAGCCAGACCATTGTAATTATCATAATTTATGCTTTTATAGAGATATCAAATTCTCAAAAAGAAAAGGTATATAAATATAAGTGAGAACTAGGACTCACTTGAAGACTAGTGATGCAAACATTCTCAAAGCCTTTTGTTTGAGACAGATGTCATAGCAACAATTCCAAAATGCTTTGCTAACTTTGCATCAGTGTTATTAATTTCACTCTTCAGATATTCTACTGCCTTAGGTCTTTTCAACACATTACTTGATGAACATTGAATTCACTGTACTATTACCTTGACATTATCATAAAGAAGGAAGTTTCCAACTCCTTACCCTTCACTATGTTTTTTCAGATAGGCAAAATATGACTGCACCAAAGAAATAAGCAAGAAAAGAAATTTGAGGAGAATATTCTAAAATTAAAGATCTGTGAAGAAAAAACAATGCCTCTTCGAATAAACATTTAGGATAAATCTCACTTAAAGAAAACCAATAGTTGTCTGTCAATTAATTTAAGTTTACAAATACTTTAGAAAGAAAACTTTGTCACTCTCTGAGTCTTACCTCATCATCTTTATACCAGGATAAGCTCTCTGCAGTCAGGACAAACCAGTACCCCTTAGAGCCTCCTTTCATGATTCCAATGTTGCTGATGGTCAGCCACCCCTTACGAATGACCTGCAAGAGAGCAGATGTGCACGGAAGAGTTCAGTTAAGCCAATAAAGACTAGATGTCCTGGACTAAATGAAGTGAATTGCAGTAAGAACTGTATTGTTCCCCACAGCTTAACTTCTATTGAGCTATTCAAGAGAATAGATCTTCTAAAAGTGCAGATGACTGGAAGGAGGTCTCTTCCATCAGTGAATAAAATAAAAATCTCGGTCTCATACGGATGGCGGAAGCAGAGTGACTGAAACAGGCAGGAATGAAATGAGGCAGCCTAACGGATTTATGCCAGGCCTATTTATGGCATTGCTGCTACAATTAAAACATATTTAGTTGATTGGATGAACAATAGACTCTCCATGCCTACTGCATCTTCTCCCTTTCCAGCCTACTGATCCATTTTTCTTCCTGGTTTGTAGTTCATTAGGATCTACAGTAGAGACTGGCCAGCAAATGGTGAAAAGCAGAAACTCAAGCCAACCAGTTAGGTCCTTATTAACAGACATGAATTGAGGAAAAAAGCTGAAATAATAAACTGAAATGAAAAATTTGAGTTTAAATGGCCTAGGTTTATCTGTCTCCTTCTGGTTGTTATTTGCCATACATAAAACATGCAGCATCTTCATAAAAATCTTTAAGCAGTTTTCAAATTTTAAAACACTAGCAACTTGTGTTGTAGATGTGACAGAAATTATTTATAAGTGGTGTTTAAAGGACAATCATGTTTTTCCAACAATGGTTGCAAAATTAAATTGTTTTTCATATGACATAGTTTACCATTGTCCCCTATGCTAGATAATTTTGTTGTCATAAAACCAGAAATGCAAATCTATATGGATTATATGATATTGTTCTAAAGGTCAAAAGTTGTTCTACACCAAAATCATCCACTATCCAAGAGATCCTAAAATATTTTTTAAAATCACTTATTAAATGACTGGGTATCAGTTTCTAAAAGAAAATTAAAATACTCTAAAAATTAGACTTTATTTTTACATTGTTATTAAATTTTCTAGTTAAAGGACAAAGGCCAATCCTCAGGAAAATTATAAAATAAGCCAAGGTTCTCAGTGCTGACCTTCCAAGCCTCTCTCCTCACTCCCAGTCCCAACCACCCCTGATTCCCTGTCTCAGCATCAATCAGGTGCCCATTCTCCTTTCTAGAGCCCTGTTGCTTTTATAGACTGCTACAGAGCATCCCTCTCAGTTCCAGACTAAGGCAATTTTCTCCAGTCATCAAAATTACCCCCTTTCTTATTCCTACAGAAAAAAAAATGTATCTCAAAGTATGGTTTCTATCATCTATATTATGTACTTGCAGGTGCTTTCTAAAATACAGAATCTTGGGCCAGCTACCATTCTTAATTAATCAGAATACATATATTATTCTATATATTAACATATTCCCAAGGTGATTTTTACTCATACTGAAGGTTGAAGACCACTTCATGAACACATACAATGCATACAATCCAAACTTCATTTTCCTTAGAGCAAATGATCACACCTAGTTTTTGGTAAGAATAAATTATTAAATTACTTCACACTAGGGTTGTTATCATCCTTCCAGGGTTTAAAAAATAACAAATTAGTCATATTGTCCAATGGAAAGCTGACTAATTATTTTATTAAGTATCTTTGGATATAGAAGATGTGTTCTAAGTATTTCAGAAATTCTAATAAGCAAATTTCCATTTTTACCTTGTGGTAGAACAGGCTGACACCAATAAGAAGAGTAATGATTTTAGCTCAATAAACATTTTTTTGAAACCTATCATATTAGGGTGGAGAAATGACACAAATAATGTATGCACATGTGAATAAATGAACAATAAATAAATAAATAAGTAAATAAAAACCTATCATATGCCAAGATGAGAAAAATCATGGTGATACCATAATTATGCTCAAGAACCTAATAGTTTAGGGAGGAAGGCAGACCCATAAAGAAATTATTTCAATACAGTTGTAGAGTAGGAGAGTATTCCAAGAAAAGAGGCACTGCACATAATTTAGGAACTTGTAATGGACCTGCCTTTAGGAGACAGTGCCTCAGAAGAACCTGGAAGGTGAATAGAATTAGTCAGATCAAGTGTCTGTTTGTTTTCCACAGAGAAGGACAAATAAGAACAAAGTATGAAAAAGCCACTTAGTGCAGAAAACAAATGGGAGGGGGTGAAAAGGTTGAGACTGTAGAAGGAGGTGGGGTGAAATTGGAGTGGATCTAGTTCAATGAGATCCTGAATTTCACTGATCTCATTACCAAGAAGTACCCAAAATAAATTTCAGGTTCAAATCCCTAATACATGTATATTTATTTTAAATTTCTCTAGGTGACTATTATATTCAAAAATTGTATACATTATATCAAATACATAGAAATTTGGGGACATGGTGTGAACAATGAAATAAATAATATTTTAACATTTTTAAAAACTTGAAGGGAAGGACTGGGGGTGTAGCTCAGTGGTAGAGTGTTTGCCTAGTATATACAAGTCACTGGGTTCCAATCCCCAGCACCACGCAAACAAAAAAAACCTCTGGGGGCTATATATTTTATTTGTTACATTTATCACTTTACTATTGACCTCTTGGAGATACAGAGCAAGGGAGGTGGCAACAATGTGAGTAATAAATGTTAATAAATCTGGGCTGTTTTTCATACTTCCTAGATTAAACATATAAATAGACGTCCTACTATATCGTCCTGCATTTCAATGGCTCTTACATTGCTCCATGGGACAGAGAAACTAGATTTCATAAGTTATTGCAATAACCCAAATGAAAAATGACCAGTGTGCAATCTAAAGACATGGTATGCAAAGTTAAAAAGAAGTTAACCTACTGGAGAAATGACTCAGGATAAAACCAACAAGATTTATGACTAGATGAGAGGGGGGATTCATGAAGGGAAAAAAACTCTAGAAATAGTGGAATAGCCACTAAACACTAGCCACAAATAGTTATTGAATCCTAATGACTAGGTTTTTTTAAAATTATTATTCATATGTGCATACAAGGCTTGGGTCATTTCTCCCCCTTCCCCCCCCTTACCACCCACTCCGCCCCCTCTCTCTCCCCCCCCACCCCCTCAATACCCAGCAGAAACTATTTTGCCCTTATTTCTAATTTTGTTGTAGAGAGAGTATAAGCCATAATAGGAAGGAACAAGGGTTTTTGCTGGTTGAGATAAGGATAGCTATACAAGGAGTTGACTCACATTAATTTCCTGTGCATGTGTGTTACCTTCTAGGTTAATTCTTTTTGATCTCACCTAATGACTAGTTTCAATTGACAAATGTGATAGCAAATTGTGCACTGAATTTGAAAACTTAATGCAAAAATGTTAAGTTGTCTTATTTTTAAAATTATATAAAGAAATATTTTGCATAAATTGAGTTAAATAAAATTTACTTTTAAAATTAAATTCACCTGTTTTTCTTCATATATTAAAGTGTCTAACAGAAAATTTTAACTCATATACACATAGAGATTAACTTTTATTTGTTTGGACAGTATAGTGTTTTAGAATGGTTCTGAAAATCTTGGATCTATCATCTTTTAGAATCAACCAATCTAAAGCTCAAAAGGAATAGAGGAGAATTTTTAGAAATTTTAGAGAGTGGAAGTATTGAATTCATCCAAGGCCATGCTGAATTTGAGCTACTTGTAAGGAAACACATATAGAGGTGACTTCTGAAGCAAAAGAGTGTTAAGGCTGGACTTACAGACTTGCAAGTTCTCAGCATATACATAGTCATGGCAGTGAAAACTGAGAAAAACAGTAGTGGGGCAGCTTGAATCCTGGGGGATGCCAACATTTAAAAGGTGGCCACAAAAGACTGAGAAGGAATTTCAGAGAAATCAAGGCAAGGAGGTCAAGGGAGCCAAGGTGAATTTTAAATAGTGTATAACTGAGAATGTCAAGTTCAGCACAGAAAAGGGGATGAAAGTCCAACGACGCAGCCATAGAGTCTTTAGCTAACGCCAGTTTCAGGGTCATGGTGAGACGAGAAGTCAGAGGTCACTGTGTTGAAAAGTGAATGGAGAATAAAAAGTGGAAGCAATGACTGAAGAGAACTCTTACAAGAAGAGGGTAAAAGGTAGAGTTAAAAATAGAAGAGGGCACAGAGGCAAAGGAGGTGGTGGTGGAGGCTTAGGTTTGGGTTTTGTTTGCTTGCTTGCATTTTGGTACAGGAAACAATTAAAGGTACTTTTTGCTTGAGAAGAAATAATCAGTAGAGAGTAACAAGTTGGCGATACAGAAAAGATGAGAGGAGAGCAAAGAAGACGAGATGAAGAATTCAGAGAAGGGGCTGGCCTTGAAAAGGAATGGAGCTGCCTCATCTTGTGGGCCTGGGGGAGGGAGGGGGAGGGAGGACAGATGTAAGTCTTTCCTGAGCAAAACAGCAGAAAGTCTAACAAGGTTATATTTGATCTTTCCATTGCTCTTGATAAGAGAAGAGAAATGGAAAAAGAGAAAGTATATGCAAGAAAGTAAGAGTTAGAAGTTAGAAAGGTCTGAGAATAGTAATGCAACATTAGGACAATAATAGAGGGAGAGGATGAACCCAGCTAAATTTATTTTGTTTTGTTAAAGTTGAAAGGTGAAAATGAAAACCAAAGTCTCGCAGACACAAGCAACACTGTTGTGCTGTTTCTTAGGAGCACTCTGTACACCTGATGTAGAAAAGGAGATGCTAAATGGAAATTGATTTTAGTTCTGAATTTTTGGACCCAACTGATCTAAACACATAGGTGTGAAAATGGTGAAGGTTTGTGGTGAGAATGTGATTCAGGTGATCAACCATTCAGTCTAGGCCAGGCCCAGAAACAAGGCTGGGAGAGGGGCACTAATAGCAATGCAGAAAATAAGATAAAGGTATTAGAAAGACCAATGAATTTTTCAAAAAAAAAAAAAGGAGACTATTTTAAGACAAAAATGAAAATTTTAGAGTTTAAGATGATGATGTAATAAACTGCCTGATCTTACTAGCACCTTTGGACTCAT